CGGGTTAGAGGTCACCAGTTCCCTGAGTGCTGTTGACAGAGTCCTCCAGAAACACGTGCTTAAAGGGACCTCCCTGGACAGCCACTTCTCTGTCTCTTGCTAGCCTCTTTGGCAAAGCAAAGCTTCAACAGTGCCTGCTGTGTCTGCCCTGTGTTTTTTGGGGACGACACAGCTTTTGCCTACTGTGCCGTGCCATGCACCAGACCAGCACGGTCACCCTGCTCTCCCTAAAGTGCCTACTTCAAGCTGTGGTCCTCTTCTGGATGGAGCTGGACCCCGAGGTCTTCCTCATTGGCCTCTGCATGGCTGTGGGTGCTCCCCTCTGGCTGCTCCAGCCCACCATACCCAGAAAAATCTGGAGGTTGGAGGCCAACTCAGAGTGATGGGACCGGCTGGTCTTGGAGCAGTGGGATGACCAGCAATGGGTGCAGAACTTCGGCATGAGGAAGACCTCCTTCCAGGAGCTCTGTGGCTGGCTGGCACCCATCCTCCAATGATACGACACCCACCTGCGGCCCGCCATCCCACTCCAGAAGTGGATTGCTATCGTGCTCTGGAAGCTGGCCACCCTAGACAGCTACCGCTCAGTGGCACACCAGTTTGGGGTGGGGAGGTCCACCGTCGGGGCCATCCTCATGCAGGTAAGGACATCACAGGATGCAGCCCCTGCACGGGGGGAAGGGGAGCATTGTATCAGGGGGATCCAGCACTGTACATGGTGGACTGGGGGTGGGGAGAAAGTCCTGGCCCCAGGGGCTGGTGCCTTCTTGCCTTCACACTGGCCTGGTTGGGGAGGCTCCTTCAGGGCAGGGGGAGCCAGAAGGGGGGCAGACATGTCCCACTGGGAGCACAACCCCTGTCTCTCTCCTTCTGCAGGTCATCAACTCCCTGCTGCTGCTCAGAGACCTCTGGCTCCAGGACCTGGATGCCACCATAGGCGGCTTTGCTGTCCGGGGTTCCCCAACTGTGTGGGAGCCATTGACAGCACATACATCTCCATCCTTGCACAGTCATCCAGCTGCAGGACTTGGATGCCACTCTAGGTGGCTTTGCTGTGCTGGGGTTCCCCAACTGCATGGGAGCCATCGACGGCCGCACATCCCCATCGGGGCCCAGGACCATTGCGTGGCCCCCTTTGTGAACTGCAAGGGCTACTTCTCTGCAGGCCCTGGTGGACCACCGGGGCCACTTCATGAACATTTACGTGGGGTGGTCAGGAAGGGCTCATGATGCCCAAGTTTTTTGCAACTCCAGCCTGTGTGCCCAGCTGGAGGCAGGCACCTTTTTCCCCCGCCGGGAGTTTCCTGTGGGCGACCAGACCATGCCAGTGTGCATAGTGGGGGACACGGCATACCCACTCATGCCCTGGCTAATGCGCCCCTACACCGGACAGCTGGATCGCACCAAGGACATTTTCAATGCCCGCCTCAACAAAGCCCGACTCCAGGCGGAGTGCACCTTCGGGTGACTGAAAGGACGGTTCCATTGCCTCCTCACCCACCTGGATGTTGGGGAGCAGAATATCCTCGCAGTGGTGGCGGCCTGCTGTGTGCTCCACAACTTGGTGGAGTGCAAGGAGGAGGCCTTCCTCCTTGTGTGGGTGGCAGAATCTGCCCACGAAGGCCGGGGCTTTGAGCAGCCTCAGACAGCTGCCACCCGCCAGGCCCATCAGGCCGAGGTGTGCATCCAGAAGGCCCTGAGGGAGAGCTTCTTGCAGGAACTACTGTAAGTCTTCCCAGGGCCTGCACCTCAGGAGTGTACTGGCAATCAAAATAGGCCTGAGAAATGGGTTGAGAACAGCCCTCCCCATGACGTCACCCCTGCGTGCCCCTCAAGCCCCACCCCCTTTCCCTGCGTCATTTCCGGCATGTGGCGCAGGCGGCAGGTTGGGCTCTGCGTGCTGCATAGAGCGCGGATGCGGAGCCACTAGGAGTGAGGGGCAACAGCGTGCGGACACGACGGCCCACCGGGAAATTCCCGGTGTCCCACTGGGCCAGTCCGCCCCTGCTGTACCCCTGCTGTACCCTTCCTTCTCTCTTCCTTCCCGCTCTTACTCCCTCCCCTGGCCTCTACCCTGACCTACCAATAAACACACTTGTGTGGTTTTTCAACAAAAGTAGTCTTTTTCTTAGTACACATAAACGAGGGTGGGCAGGGGCTGAGGGGGCTGTCTGAACTGGGAGGGGGGCTGAGCCCCCTCGGGTGTGGGGACGTTGTTGGGGTTGGGCAGTTCTGGGGGTCCTAATGGGATGGGCAGGAGGTGCAGCTGGAGTGGGGCCAGGGTCAGCAGGGGGATGGCAGGAGGAGGGGGCATAGGAGGTGCCATAGGCATGACTGGAGGAGGAGCCAGGGCCATGGGGAAAGGAGGGAACAGAGGCATGGCCTGGGGAGGGAGGAGAGGCATGGCAGGGTGGGCCATGGGGATAGGACGGGGGGGCAGGAGGGTGGAAGGCAGGAGCAGTGGCAGCTGGCGCCTGTTCCCCCCGGTGGGACAGGATATCGACCAGGGTGTCGCAGAGCACTATGAGGTCACTCCATGACTGCCACCACCACTCCAGGTTCAGCCGGTGCAACAGGGTGGCATGGATGTCACGCATCAGCCCTATATGCTGGTGCATCAGCTCCTCCACAGGCCTGGCTCATCCATGGCTCCCCCGGACTCTGGCTGGTGGCTGCGGTGGTGGTGTGGCTGGGCCCTCCGTCCCGGCTGGTCCAGCTATGGAGAAGACACAAGAGAGGAGCAGTCAGTCCACCCTGCACATACATTCCCAGAGGCCGTGCCCTCCTGTGTAAGCGGTGACTACACCAGTTTGCAGCCTGCAGGAGGGGGATGTCCCAGGTGCAAGGCCATGTGTGGCCTACACAGCAAGCCCTGTGACACAGGGACCCCTAGGTAGCCAGAGGACCTCTCGCTCCCTCCCTCCCCCCACATACACACACTAGGGCCTGGCAGGCAAGGGAAGTGTATGGCCGCAGTGGATCCCCTGGGCAGAGGAGCCGAGAGTGGCCGTCCCCTCCCTGTGTTCTGCACACACAGCTGTGGCTCGCTGGACTATCAAGTTGGAGCGGCTGCTGCCTCTCACGTGCAGGCATGCCCATGTACTGTGATCAGCACACCGGCACGTGTGTGGGGTGTTGCCTGTGCCCCTGTGGCTAACCTGCTTGCAGCTGGCTGCGCCCCCTCCCTCCTGGGGGCAAAACTCGAGTGGCCAGGCATGAGGCTGGCAGCAGGCTCCTGGGCAGGTAGAGGGGCTGGCTGCTGTGGCCATGTGCCGCACCTTTCCGCTGCACGTGGGTCCACATGCCCAGACTACAGCAGCATATACTGGCCTAGCTACCCGTGTGACACTGTGCCCCCGCTCCCTGTGCAGTCACCTTCCCCGTCCGGTGTGTGTTTGTGTGTGCTAACATACCCGAGGGTCCCTCCTCGGAGTCAGGGACTGGCTCCAGGGACAGGATGATGGTTCTGCTCTCCTGGTCCTCGTCCTCCTGCTCCATCGGTGGCTGGACCTGGCCCTCCAGCTCTGGGCACTGGAGGATGGGTGCTTCAGCCCAGAGTCCACCACAATGGCGGGGGAAGAGGGTTTCCCCCCCCCCAAAGATGTGGTGGAGCTCCTTGTAGTAGAGGCAGGTGTGGGGTCCTGCCCCTGAGCGCCCCCTCTGCTCTGTCGCCCTGACATATCCCTGATGGCACTCCTTCACCTTGGCCTGGCCCTGTTCCATGGTCCGGGCAGCGTGACCTCGCCCCACCAGGGATGTGGCCATGCAGGTGAAAATTTCAGCATTTCGCCATTTGGCCCTGGATTCCTGGAGCAGCGACTCCTTGCACCATAATTCAAGAACAGTCGCAATTGCTACACCTGACCATGCTGGTGCTCAATGCTTGCTGCCACTGGGGGGCTCCTGGGAGCCCTGTGGCTGCTCCCTGTCAGGGTCAGGGGAGTCTCGGGCACCTGCTTGCTCCACCATCTATGCCAGCAGAGAGCCGCACAGCCAGGCAGCTGGCTGTAGGCAAGCTTACTGCCGGAATGGCTGTGCAGGGTACCTGTCCCTTTAAGAGGGGCCAGCAGACAAGAACAAGAGAGTTGTGATTGCCTGCTTCAGAGAGTTCAAATGGCCTCCTGTGTTTTTCCCTGGAGGCCAGTTTTTGCACAAAAACCCCTGTGAAGCGTGCACACTTGCCTTTTCGTGCAAAAACTCTACCGCAAAAAGCCCTCTGTTCTGCCGATTGTCTTGTGCAATAGCGTATTTCAGGTGTGGACGCTCCGCCGGTTTTTGTGCAAAAACCTTGTAGTGTAGCCATACCTTTCTGTAAAGGAATGGAAATACATATGCCAGTGAAAGGAATCTTTATTATACCAGTATAACTGTGTCCACACTAAGGGTACATTTACACAGCACCCTAAACTCGAAATAAGATACACAATTTGCGCTACACAAGTTGCATATCTTATTTAGAAACTATTTCGAAATAGCTTTTTTTGAAATTTGGCACGTCTACACAACACCAAAGTTCAAAATAACACGCTATTTCAAGCCATACCTTATCCCTCGTGCAACTAGGTTTACCAGGATAGCAAAACAGTGTGCCTGTTATTTATAAAAAATTTCAAAATAACGGGTGGCTTGTGCAGATGCAGGGTAGCTATTTTGGGATGCCTTTGGTATCCCGAAATAGCCGTGCAGTGTAGACATACTCTCAGAGGTTTACCAATATGACAATTTCACTAAAAAAAAAGTTACCCTGGAATAACAATTATGTGTAGACCAGGCCTTGTTCTTATTTTCACGGAGGCCACTTTACCACATTCTGGCACTGTGAAGTAGTTTTAGTGTAATAAGACTCTGACTCAAACTCTGCTTGCAAGTTGTTATTTATGCTATGTAATGAATCTGAGAACACCTTGGAAATAAAAGCAACACATTAGAGATGTTTCCAATGCCCATTCCTCCCCAAATAGTGGAAACAGTAGTATTGGAAAGTGTTTCATAAATTTATTACATTTTCTGTACACTCATATCAGACACAGTTAAGTTTAGAAATGTTCATGGTTATGTTCCATTCATATCCAGAGTAACTCAGTTTGTGAGCTGATAACTTTACAGTCTTTTCAAAATCCTCAAGTTTCTCGTTTCCCTGAGTTGTATGATGCATCTAACTAGAACCCTGTTTGTCTCTAAAGAGGAAAAATGAAGAAAAAAAAATCAACAAAGCAGAGATACTGCTAGAGACCTGCTCAGGGACAATTCTACAGGCTAGTCCGTGAATTACCTGTTATTGTCTCATTCTAATAAATCATTCACTAGTGTCAAACCAGCAGAGGCTTCCCTCACCAGTGAGTTTTTGATAACCCTGTTCATCTTTGATGATTGTAAACCCTGAACTGCTTTTGTCTCTCCACCTAAACATTTGCACCCAATTATTTCACATTAAAGATGCTCACTGACTTCAGCAAGTGCAGGATCAAGCCACAAAATGGACTCAGGTGTCGCACCCTGACGAAAGCAGTCTTAACTTTAATGCTTTCCAGATACCACAGCCCAGACAAAACAATCTATATGCAAAACCGAGAGTATATACAGAATAGGCCAAGTTCTGCTTTTAGTTACACCTGCGCGGTTCCATTACCTGGAAGTACAAAAGAGTAGAATCTGACCCATCATCCTTAAAGGAATTTTGGACAAGACAAATAACGTATTAAGTGGAGCAAGCTGTGGGCCAACCAGTAATAAATACAAGAAACAAAATAAGTATACATCTGCTATTCCACATGCACGCTATTAGATTGTATAAGCCTACGTAACGGCGGAGGCAGTACAGAACAGACATATGATTCTATGATACAGCATAAAAGATAGACAATACTTGGAAAAAGAGACTTGAGTTACAAAAATGAATGGAATTCTACGGGTTTAAAGATCAGCAACTCTGTGTCTGTTTTAAATGAGATTTGATTATGAATTCCCAGGTCACTTTGCTTAAAATGTTCCAATAAAGTCAGACTGATGCAAAAGAGTAATTGTGGATTTAATATTGTAATAAACTAGCACAATGGTACTTGCATCACTGGTCTCTATAGGATGGAATTAGAATTGCTCAGCTCTGTGTCATAGGCACTATACTGGTAACAGCAAACAAGTATTCATTAGATGAAAGGGAGCTGTACTTTTGGGGCAGGAGTTTCATAAATTCACAGAAGGGACCATTGTGATTATCTGGTCTGGCGGCTGGTATATAACACACTGCAGAACTGCCCCAAAATAAGCCCTAGAACAAATTTCTAAGAAAAACATCCAATCTTGATTTAAATATTGCCAGTGATGAAGAGTCCACCATCACCTTTAATAAACTGTTAATTCCAATGGTTAATGACTATCCCTGTAACCAAGTTCTGCATGGCCATGGTGTTCAGCACAGTGACAAATGGACAGTTCCTAGCTTGTCACAGTTTTGTTACTATTTTAAAACAATAAAGCTTACAAGTTCACATACATCAGATTTACAATCAAGCCAAAGAAATGGTGTGGATGATACAGCTCTCTTTTCAATTGCATTTTGATAAGATTTGTGATTTAATGTTTTAAGTGGGGGAAAATACCATACTAAGGAATATTTCTTTTGTAAAAGATCACTTTGGTGGGGAGTTGCATTCAAATAGTTTTAAATATTGTTGTGATTCTGAAGCCAATGCTGTCCTTGCTACACTGATATACATTTTAAAAATCAGTACTGCTCCAATCGCTATGTAAGGCAGTTCTGCCTAAGGTACTGTTTTTATTTCCCTTTTGTTCTGACATGATATGAAGGCTACTGATTTTTACCATGTTTGAAACTTTTCCATTTTTATTCCTTTCTCTGTCATAAATCATTTCCCCTTGAATGCTTTTGACCGTGATGGTGGCATAGTACAACAAACCAATGTTTACTTGAAAAAAAACAGTTGAATTAAACTTCTAGGGCCTCATCTTTACTTAGGCAAAACTCTCAATGAAGTTGATCAGATTGCTATCCTGATTCCATTGACATGTTAAGGTTATCACGGGATAAATCCTGCTTACCTTACCTCACAATGAAATCGCAGAAGTTAGGTGGACAGGGTTGCATCCTGCCTTTTAATGGTAAAGCCCAGCTCCCTTGCCTGTGTCTTCATATAAAATCATAGGCACCAATAGATGTAGGAAAATAATACTAGAACATTGCTGAGTTTATTCAGCATGGATCACGTGTTATCTGCTCAGTGCTCAACTCATTTTATTACCTTTAACTGTCTACATTATATTTTTCAGCAAGCCCCAATGATGAACAGAAATACTGCTTTGCATTTTGCCTGAATGTCTTGCTCTTTCATTATGGCTTTCTGTGTAATATTGGTAAGTGATGCTTTGATAGAGGTTGTCATATAATCACACTAGATTCTGTCCAAGCACGAGAATGTTCTTCCTTTGTAACAGAGAATCTGTTCTTTGGGAGCACTCTGAGTCCAAACAACCTGCAAGCAGCAACTCGGTACTTCTTAGACATAATGTTGTACAAGATCGGGTTGATGGCAGCACTAAGGTAGAAGAGGACGAAGGATACCAAGTTGCAGTACTGGCTGATCACAGCTACTATCTCCAAGGATCCGGCTTCAAAGGATTTGGAAAACAAATATCGTCCTACATGAAAAGGCAACCAGCAGAGTATGAAAGCAAACACCACCACAGCTGAAATGGAAACAGCAGAAGGATATTAAAACAATAGGTCATTCAAAATGAAATGTACTTATACGTCTTTAATACTAGCGAAATTTAAATAATGTGATTTGTGTAAAGTATAAAGTGGATCGTAATTTATGTTGATTTTGGTATGTGCTTTATCTAAACTACATTATTAATAGATTATGTATAATAATATAGTAAAATATATAGTTGTATTTTAATATATAAATCACAGGTGAGTTTAGTGTATGATAGTTTTCAATTATATCGCTTTCAGTTTTTCCTGAAATAGGATCGTAGGAATAGCACATTGATGAAAACACGGTCATAAAGAATAATTACAAGCAGAAATGAAAATGAGTGGGTGTGCCCTGGTGCGCCACTCTAGCAAGAGCTGGCTGAGCTGCAGCAAAAGCCATCAGGGAGCTATTTAAAGAACTGGCAGGGATCTGGGTCGCAATAGGACAATACCTGTAAGAAATTTTAAGTTACTTTCACTGCTGATTACAAGTAATAGATCCAGTTTAACAAAGCTCATACATATATCTGATGACACTAGAACTGCAATTTATCATTAAAAGTATAAGGACATAGAGCTATGTTGATTCTGGGTAAAGATCTCAAAGTAAGGGAAAATGAATCTGGAGCTGTAGAAGATTTATCTGCAAGATAATGAAACACAATAAAACAAGCTACTGAGGCAAGCACAATCCATCCTATGAACCTTCTGGCTTGTATATTTCTCTTGAGAATGAATTACCCTAAGAAGAGCAAAGCTAAAAATATTATCTAAAAACTTGAGCTCTTGCCCGTTTTTCTTTCCACACTCCTAGAAAGTGGGGAATATTTTGTCTTGGTTCATTACACATTATTGATCCAACAGTACTTTTTTAAATGGTTTTGAATAGCCCTATTCACACACACAAAAAAGACACAAGAATTTTAGAATAGGATTTTTAACAGCCTTTTTCATTAGGTAGTTAACTTATTTAATTTTTACCAGAAAGTCCATTTGATTTAATTATCCAGTACAGTTAAGATCATGGCCCCAATACATTTTATGGGAGTTTTGCCACTGACATAAATGGGGCTAGCATTTTACTTGGTGTGTTGTGCCATGGCTGAAATAATATTTATAGAATGTTATTGAAAAGCAATGGAAAAGGGATAATTATCAGCAGCTTTTCACAAAACATTCAGGGGAGGATTCCTATCTTTAAATGACTATACAGAGAGAAATCATAGTCTCTCAACTCTGCTCACAGAAGTTTGATTTTGGAAAAAACATTTAATCTGCTTCTGCCTCAGAGTCTCTATTTGAACAACGGAGCATTTCTATTTCTTTCACTGAATCTTAATTTATAAGAAATGAAGCTAATCTAAGAGAAGATAAGGTATCAGAGTTGCTATTATAAACTAAAACCAACATTTTCAAAAGTAAGATACATATGTAACATCAGCTTGACTGGACTGAACTTAGGTATGTTGATCCAAATTTAGCCTCTAAAAACAAATAGTGTGAGCTTCAAAGGTGCTGAGTCTTATTGATTGTATTGGGATCAGTGGGTGTTAGGCACTTCTAAAAACCAGACAACTGTTTTAGGCCCTTCAATATGGATATAAAAGTCTAACTGTGACTTTTGAATTTTGAATTGGTGGCCTTTGCTCTTCTTTAATTTGCTGCTCCAGAACAGGTAAGGATTTAAAGTTGTCCATTTGAAATTCTAAACAGAAAAATCAAATCAATGGAAGCACCTTGTATTATTAAATCCCTATTAAGTTCCTTCATTAGATTTTCATCAGTTAGAAAATGTTGTCTTTCTCTTAAAGGACATTCTAGCCTTACAGAATGAAGTTGTAGCTGTTGGTGTCAAGATACTAGAGACAAGGTGGGCAAAGTAGCATCTTTTATTTGACCAACTTCTGTTGGTGAGTGGACAAGAGTTCAAACCTGAAGAAGAATTGTGTAGTTCAAACACTTGTCTCTCTTACCAGAGAAGTTGGTCCAATAACAGATTTTAGCCACAGTCCTTTCTGTCTCTGATGCATTGAGAAGCAAGGTGTTTGAAATAGTATTAATAGAGCTCTTCACAATACCATATTGGTACCCGTATTCACATCTGCAAAAATAATCTGTGGCTAGCCACATCCACATCTGTGAATGCAGATACCTGTGCACATAAAGTGAATATTTACAAATTTGCAGAGTTCTAACTACAAAATTTGGTATCCACATCCATATCCACAAAAATGAGCTGCGGATATCTGCATCCGCAACCACCGATACAGATGCTTGTGGATATAAAGAGGATATCCACAGATTTGCAAAGCTCCAATTATTAATGTTTGTAGCAATGTTTTAGGATTGGAAGTAGGTATATTTAAACTTATAGAAATATAAATGTGAAAATGATGTACTGGAGAGTTTTCTTCCTATAATAAGCAAAAAAGTCACAATTCATAAAATTGAGATTAGGAGTTACTTCCAAGGTACACCCTGAATGAAATATTCAATGAACCCTAAAATATAATTAAAGGTATACAAAGTATCTCAACTTTCAGCATACATGCTGTTGTTGCCTAGTAAATTAAAAAGTATATGAATAAACAATCAGTTAGATACAGTTAATAATTTAGATATATTGGGCCTAGTGTAGCCATGCTGTACATATAGCTCTCTGGCCCATAACTGCCTTAGTGGACTTTAATAAAACAGGGCTGTCTTTCTGCAAAATCTGAGAAAAAATTACCTACATGAATAGATCTACTGAAATCAATGGTATTACTCATATGAGAAAAGACTATTTGTACAGGATTATGCTGCTAGAATAATAAGAGAATTTCTAATTTTCAACCAACAGACTGATGGTAATTTCTTTCAAACCGATGGTGCCAGAAAGTGTTATCTTTTTCTGTATTAGTGGATCTAGTGCACACATGGGATGCACTGACACTGAGTATTTATGAGGTCAGACTCTTTAAGGTTAAAGATGTGTCTATTTGTATGCTAAGGTTACTATTTATATGTTAAGGTAAATATTGTAGAAGCAAATTATATAATTTTACTGAAAATATTTAAACATATTAAATTAAAAATGCCATTGTCTAATAACTTGGTCTTGTTTCTTGCAAATCAGAGTTTTGCCATTGACTTCAATTGGAGCAGAATGACAGGCTCCAAAACAGAGGAATATTCTTTATTAAGTGTAAACTGGTCTTGTTGCTAAAATGGAAAATGCACTTTGGGGGGAGGGGGTTCATTACATTAATTAACTATATTTGTCAGTTTTCTTCAACTGACTCTAAAGAAATTGACATTCCTATAATTCTGTACATGCATGGATTCATTCTGTTTAGATCTCCTGAAGCCAAATGTCAGGCTTTTAGAAGGGTAAATAGAAATCCTTTTCAAACTGGGATTTGGTACTTGTAAATAATTTACAAAGAGGTTCGAGAATTTTCAGTGTAATAGTGATTGTACTATTCTATTTTTCAGTATTAACTATTCTTTTCAATATCAGAGATTATTATGTTAATATCTGCGCAAGTAGTTTGCACAGGAGGCAAGTACAAGTCAGAGAGTGAAGAGTGTTCTTATACTGCTCTTACAAACTCATAAAGAAAAAACGGTCGATAAATGCTTCACTTTTAGTGACCACTTTAAAGCCCTACCGATGTCTTTTTATCTCTCTCTGACACACAAACGCCCCACGATAAATTGGAATTGGTTTAAAATCCTACCTAACATTTTCACAGTTTGTTTGTTGTTCTTGTCCCTGCTAGAGGTATTTGGTCCCATGTTCTTTCTCTTCCTCCTCCAGATTTTCCTCCCAATGAGGCTGTAAAGCACAGTCAGGCAAAACACGGGCAAGAAAAAGAAGACGCTGGAGGTCCAGACCATGATGGTGAGCAGCCCTGATTTGATCGCATACTCCGTAGCTCTGCACTCGTTGGTGTCCAAAGGGTTCGTCCCATTCTCGTGTTCGACCCCAACCAGGACAAAAATGGGCCCCGCGCTTACAAAGGACACCGCCCAGAGCACTAGGATGACCAGCTTGACTTTCCCCTTGGTGATCACCACTTTGGCCTTGAGGGGGAAACAGACGGCGAAGTACCGCTCCACGCTCAGGGCGGTGATGTTGAGGATGGTGGAGTACGTGCAACTTTCGCTGACGAATTGGAAGAGCTTGCAGAGGAGGTCTCCGAAGTTCCAGGGCCGGTACTGCCAGAGGCGGAAAAGATCCAGGGGCATGCAGAGAAAGATCAGCAGGTCCGAGAAAGCCATGCTGGACAGGTAGAGGTTGGTCGTGGTCCGCATGTCCCGGAACCGGGACACCACCAGCACGGTCATGAGGTTGCCCACAATCCCAACCACGAAGAGGAGGATGCAGGTGACGGTGATGCCCGTCAGCACCGGGGCCGGGAACAGGTGCGCGGGGTACTCGGGCCAGGTGTCGTTCTCGTAGCCCCCGGCGCCCGCGCTGGAGTTGGGCCAGCGGCTCTGG